AAACATGTTTACCGTCGTCAAATACAAAACCTCCACAATCAATTTCCGATACGGTAGATAAATATCAGTCAGGGTGACATCAGATGTAGAATCCAGGAGTCATGGCGACAATATTAGCTCGGATTGATGTGCCAACGACAGAACATTAAATGGCAGGAAACGAAAACGATTACATTTCCTTTTGATATTTGAAGCGTGTACTTTAGATCTGTCTGCAATCTGAACGATAAAGGTTACTGATTTTGTTACAATGAAAGCAATGAAATTGCTTTCTATTTTTTGCGACAGTAATATAACGGAACATACTGCGGATACTCATGTTAGATAACCTCGAACATTTAATGAAGTGAGTGAAGTAAATAATAAAATAGGGATGACGACTAATGTTTGTATGTCTGTCCGTCAGGTAGATTATTTTTTTATTGAAAAATATTATTAAATACGTTTATTTTTATTTTTTTGTGTAATCAATAAATTACTGCGATACATTGAGTTGAAATAGGTTAGGTTTTACAGTATGAATGACATTATAAAATAAGTCGTCTTCTTCTTTAGTTCCTAATGGCTCAGAATTATGTTTTAATTCATCCAAAAGTTCAGAAAATTTTCCACAATTTTGTCTTTTTAGGCACAGAATGGGCATAGAGATCTTAGGTCAAGAATATTATATACTTGTTTTTTTTTTCTTGAGAAATTTATATTTTTTCCTGTCGTTTTCTCTTGATTTTCTCGGATTTTCTTCATGTGAACTTCTTGGTTTTCTTGAAGTGATTACAAAACATTCTCTTTGGTTTCCTCTATGGTTGTAATCATATCAAATTCTGATCACACCATAGATTTGTTATATTTAACTTATTTGATTAGGATTTGCTATAAAAGCATTCGAGGATTTGATAAGATGACAAATTTCAACTGAGGATCAAACTCTCGGAAGGAAACATATTTTTGCCTATATAAAATCTATCCTTTGCCTTTAACTCTAGGGTTACCTCTTTCTTCAAAGTAATTACAATTTACTTTTGACGAGCATAGGAGTCCATTTCAACAACCGAGATTTGTAGATTAATGTTCGCAGACTGCATCGTATATATTATATTGTCATCTATATACGATACCAGTGAAAAAGTTAGCAGAGTTATGGTATACTTAGTTTTCAGTTTTTTAATACTCGGTTCTGGCTTCCTTCTTAGTAACACGTATGAAATAATCTATATAAGATATAACTATGTTCTGGAAAAATAATTATTTCTGTTCAATACCCCTTCAGTTTTAATATATTAAGTGATTGGAACAATTTCCGTGAAATTGTGCAATTTCCATAGATGCCCAGAAGCCACAGAAACCTCAGAAATTGCCACATGGAAATTGAGAATATGTTGTTTTTACATAAATTACTTAAAATATCAAAGTTATGTCAATTATTTTTCTGTTATCTTTTATGTGTAATAAAAGCTTATAACATACGTTACAGTTATATTTTTATTACTTAAAAAAGGCAATTAAAGTCTGACCACAGATATTACCAAATTTTATTCAATTTTGTTACGAAAAGATCTAATAAGATTACTCACAACTGTTCCCACTACGTGTTAGGGCACTACTGTTCCTTGCCGGACAGGGATTTACTGTATGTATAAGCATAAGTAGAAGGTGGGAATGGTAACACAAAATGACCATGGAATTTTTATCATCTTCTTGTAAGTAAACTAATAATTAACAATACTATTAATATACTTTTTTCATATTTGTATGAGAATATTGTCATGAGGGCTCAATATTGTGGACAGTGCAAAGATGAAAAATTGGAAATTGGCTATTCACAGTTTTTTTTTTCTTGGAAACTAATAGTCTTAGGAATATAATTGATGTGGCATTATTAAGATACACGTTTCTTTTATTTTGAAAAAAAAAAATTGTGGTGTTATCTCTAAAGCAAAGTTGCGTTTTCACCTGGGACGCGTAAAATTTAAGCCGGAGAAATTCGCTCATAGTGTAAGTAAGAAATTACTGTTAACATGGCTTTTGATTGCACAAAGGAAATCGAGATCATTGCCATTTTTCATTCATTTCATTTTACATGTAAAAATCAAACATTTCAATTAAACAGTTCGAAATGCGCAGATAAGCCAATAATGAAAGAAGAAGAAGACATATATTTTACTCTTTGGATTCCACTATAATATAATGTTTGATTGATTCCATTGAAACGTTAGCTTCTTACTTACTCTATGGATTCCATACTTTCTTATTAATTACTTAGTATCTTCTTCTTGGTCTGTGTAATTACTCTAGGATTGATACAAAAAGTTAATTCAGTTTTTTATACCCTTTAAATACAATAAGTTTTATTGTGATAAAATAACAAGTGTAATGTAGTTTATATAAATAAAGGCAACATTATGTTAAAATAAAAAAGTGAAAGACGATAAATAAAGAAACTGTTTACATAAAGACAGTACAGGATGCGTAATCTAAAGGTAAAGCTGATTTTGTTCTAAGAGGACAACTAATTATTATAAATATTTATAGTAAATGATTTAAAAAAATCACTACAATCACAAAAAGACATTGAATCATGAACAGCCATGAAAAAATTTCTCTAAGTAACCTTAATATAAATCAAAGCTTGTAAAAGCTTGAAAATTAATATAGGGATGCATTAAAAATGGAAGCACTTCTAATGTGTATAACACTTATGTAGTTTTCTAAATAGAAGATTTGTAATCTTCAAGATTTTGATATTGTTATTGAGTTATACTTTTTACATTAAATAAAATACATAGTAACCTCAAAACTCTGAATATGTCTTGATCGAAGCGGAGATTGAATTTATCGACTTCTTAACTTTATTGCTAAAATATACTTTATAATCCACTACTTTCCAGACACAAGCCAAAAACTTAATCCATTGAGTGCATACAGCCTAAAACTTTGGGCTTGATAAAAACAGGGTCGCGACTAAGACCTCTCTGCTTCTTGGGATTACTGATAGCGAGCTGGATTTAAAATTATTTCCTTTCGCTTTGCAATTTAGAAGATTTAGTTGTTTATTTCTTTGCTTCTATATTCTATTTTATTTTTTTATTTCGCATAGGTAATACATTAGATGCCTCTACTCCGTGCGATATCCTATTGATCCCAAATCCCTTGCGTATTAGGTAGAGAAAACTGACCGGCTCAAGTCATGATCTTTTTTATACGTCTTTTGCTTCCTTAACATTGAAAACTCTTTTAGTAGATTTTTATGACTGACGTTGAAACGAGCACACAACCGCATCTCAATCTGCTCACCAGTAAAATAAACACATTCATTGAACAAATGAGTCTTATGTTAGTATTGTATTTTGGATTAAAATCACAGTTCTGTATGTTATTATGTAATTTAAACTTATAATTGGGCCAATTCCGTTGTACTCGCCAAAGCACTAAAAAACTTTCCAGTGAATAAGTATATAAAATACTTTAAAGAACAGATCAAAAATACATTTCATGTTCTTTCGACAATAATCTTAATAAATGCACTCGTTGACTCGCCGTCTCATGTCTCTTTATTAAATTTTAATATAGAATTCACATTTTTTTACTTACCGATCTAAAGATATCTTATTTCATATTCCCATTACAATTATGTGTCGCCTGTATAATGATCTTGTAGCCAAGCATTCTTCACTCATTAATTTTAACGGCAAACTACTTTAAATACAAGTCCAATCCATCCTGCTCTCACAGAAGCATGTGTTTGTTTATATTCTTGATTTTTTTATTATTTATATTTTTGCAAAGTGTTCTGTGACTACGTTATGATGTTACATTATATATTTGGTCTATACTATGCTCACTTGTTTAAGAGTTACGGTAAAGTTTATTTCTTTATTTATATTATGTTACTATAACTTGTTTTGTGAGATAAATAAATAATATTTTTTTAGATGATTACACTTCACCCAAATGACTATCCTATTTATTTTAACATTGGACCAATAATTGTTGGTGGAAGTGCTAATCCTTATTCCGGCGAGATTGGAAAGCAATTTCAATGTTCTTGCATTCAGTTTCCCGAATTGTTTCTCTACATATTCAGTTCTTATCTAAAATCCGCATCTAATACAATCGGAAAGCATGAAGTAAAGATGTATTCAAGAGACTAGCGCGCGAACACTATTTAAATAGTCTATAGTTTTCCCATTAGTAAACTGATGTTATATATAGAATATATTTTATAGATATAGTATTTAATGTTAAGTATGTTTTTTATTTGTAGGTATAAGTATATCCTTTTGTTTTTCTTTTCGAACTACTGCACTCTTTAATCGCCTATATCCGTGTCGTACATTTTTGCTCCCACGTCCTGTCTGGTAGACTGATAGAGAATGCCCTTGGTATTCATTCCGCCTTTTGCTGTTTTTTTTAAATAAATATCTCGTAACCCAACGGATGAATGTGAGTTTCCAAGGGCTTTATAAATAGTCTATAATTTAGGATATTTATTAATCGTCAATCTAAAAATAAACTGAGAATTAATCGTTAGGATGTCGATAGGCAACGAGTATATTTGATCTTCGGAACTACAACCACGACAGAACAGATTAGCTTGTTGCCACCGTCTCCGAAATACTAGACACACATTGGTTCTATCACTTATACATTGTCGACATCCCACCTGTTTTGTGAACTACTTTCTCTTTCTACGTGCTAAGAAAATGAGTTTCTTCAAAGCTAGAGTAAATAGGCAAAACCCCACTTAACAAAGTATATGTATATTTAGAAACATTTAGTTTTTTTACGATATTATTTTTATTTGTAAATTCGATCTAAAATACACACGAATTAATAGAAAAACGTGTATGTAATGTCTGAACATTAAAATGGACTTATTTGCAACAAACAGATTTTTTTGTTATTTTTAAACTCATTCTCAATGCGTTAACTTATGAAGGAATTAACTCTGAATTAAAATCCAATGTAGTTATTGATTACAAACTAGAATAATAAGCACGGACTTTCAATTAATGCAGTTTATTTCTAATCTAATAATAAATAAAATTAATTTTTGTTTCACATATGTGTCATGTTGTCGACACTGGTCATCATCACGTCTCTGTATGATCTTCTCACCAACATGTCAGTGTCGAGGTATGTCAGATCATCACGCTTCATCACCATATCGGACATGTCTACATCCTTAACAACGTTCGCTGTGTTCATATCTCTCCTGAAGATCATAATGTCAGTGAACTTCATGTTATTGGTATAGAATTTAGTGACGTCTATCTCTCTATCGAATGGGTAGCCCAGAGGCATTGTATCAATGCAGGTCGACCAACGGCAAGAATGGCGCTCTTTCATAACCGTCATATCTAACGTTGGCAAAATCATACCAGAGCGTACCGGACTGACAATGACGAACATCTGCATTTCCAAACCACCACGAGTGCCCATGGGAAGCAACAGTCTACTAGGGAAGCCTATGCGGGATTTCGACCAATAGCTATCGATCATCTTGACGCCTACTCCCACATTTTCCATGGATCGATCCCAAATCCGACGGGTCAAGGGTCTTTCCTCTATTATTCCTTGCATCTCGTCGGACTTACGCACAATGGTGTTCTTGCCGGTATCCAGTTTGTAGACGAAAGTGTCGATCTCGACCATATCAAGGCGTTTGTCGTTGATTTGCAGAAGACGTCCCATGCAGTCATATTTGGGACCTATGAAGACGCGCACGACTGCGTCGACCGCCTTATCTGAGACAACATCGATTGTGACCTTGAATGGATGATTGTTGAGGCGATGCATACGTGCAATGTAGATCATATCGGAGCGCTTCTTCTGCATTTCGGACTGGTCGAGATATAATGCATTAGTGATGTCGACATCGTAGTCGTCCATGTAGGTCACGAGCTTATCGGTTATCAATCGCTCCACCTTTACACCGGGGAATTCTAGCTCATCGACTGTGTACCTAGGAAGCAGATTTTTGAAAAGCACGAAAGTCTTGCTTATGCGTTTCATCAATCTCCAAAATACAGGATCACGTAGGCACGTAGTGTACATATCTAATGCGGTAGGAACGTATGTATACCTGAAATAATTTCAATTCATATTAAAATTGTTAATTAATGGAACCGTACTTTTAAACCCAAATTTCTGAGCGAACTTCATTATGCCCTATCATAGATAGAACCTGTGATTAGACCACACTCAATCACTGCTGGAAATAGGCCTCTCCGTGTGCACGTCATCCAACTTTATGATGATTTACAATTTATCTAAACACTTTTTCTATTAACCGTGACGCCATTTAGTAAACACTTACTTGTCAACATTGTATGTACTATAGCTTAACATCTTCTTTAATACGTTACTGACGTGGATAATCTTGGCATTGTCATTCTGGAGTCCGTGGCCGCCAAGTATCAGCCTGGCAAGAACTTCGATGTCTTCAGCTTTTTTGAGAGAAAGAACTGTACCATCACGCTAAAAATAAAAGTTGAATTAGGACACTTTTCAACACTGAAATTTAAAACAAAGAAAACTAAATACATACTAATGCAATCTGTCCTGTGATTATTCCTTCACGCACAATCTTTTCCATGTCATCGACGAGGACTTTGTCCCCTACATTGTCCTTAGTTACCAGTACCACATTATTACGACGCATGGGCATCTCTTCACCGTTATGCATGCGTAGTTTTGGCCAGTAGCCCGTAGTTAATGGCTCGTTCCACATCAGCGGCTTAATGTCGCACATGTTCTTAGACAGGCGTTCCAACCTCAGCCTAGCTAATAGTTGCATCGTAGCATACATCATGATCTCACCGCGACGTTCCTTATTGACGTTGTATATATCATTGGTCATCCAATACGGGTAGTTCATGTGTAAGTAGTACATGTAAGTGTTCAGGTCGATGTCCTCTGTGAAGTAAGAGATTCTATCGGACTCGCTGACAGTGTGACGTACACCTTTACGCCAGTCTATAACGACTACGTTATTGTCCTTAACTCTAATTCCGAAATAGTCTCGGACCACTGGGTCTAGAGAAGCTTTTGTCATTTTCATCTGGAAAGCTTTGTTGATGACCTGACTATCTACGAAGAAGTAAGGGTAAATTTCATAGGGTGCAGGGAGGACGACACCTTGACAATCAGTGCGGTGAAAGCAGGCAACAGTGAGAGCGTAGACGAACATGCCGCCGTTGATACGCTCACGTAAGAAACAGGCTGTACGTAAGAAGACATCGAAGTCCTTCGCAAAGTAGAGCAGGCGGAACGTCTTGATTGCTTCGTCGAGTTGTTTCTCATTAGTGTGAACGAATACCTCGCCACGAGGCAGCATCCCCATCTTGTATGTTTGGACGAACTGTTTCACTACGTCGACTTTCTATAAATGACAAATGATTTCAAATGAAATTACGATATATAAATTCCATCAAAAATATGATATTTTTTTCTATTAATATTCCTTAGGCAGTTCTTACCAGATATTTGTCTACGTTGTCTTCAATAACAAATTCTTGAGCTATTTCGCGAATATCTTCATACATAGTTGGTTGCAGAATGTGATTCAGTAATTTCATTATGCATATTTCTTTCGTCTTCACATCCAAGTTTACTGAATGTACAATAAAGACTGTTAATTAACCTAACATAACTTTGTTAATAATAATAAAAGGTTACACATGTATAATAAATAATTAAAAGAAACAAAATATCGTTAATTCAGTTGTGATTAATAGAATGGGCTAAATTTTAATTTACATATACCTACATCATAACTTGACAACTGCAGCATTCGATGCACGCCTAACAAAAAACGGTACATTTAATTTTACAGAATTTCAATTTGCAATAATCGTTAAAATACAGGAAGGCCGTGATTCTATTGTTATTGAATTTTGTCTCTGTATTTCTTAGACTTTATAGTAATATTACTAACACACCTTCGTCATTTAGGTATGGATCAATTATCACACAAGGTACACAGTGCAGATCTCTAATGTCCTCTAAAGCTATATTTCGCACATCTGAACGCTGCATTGAAGAACTGAATTTATTATTTTTTTTTGGTATTTTGTCACTTATGGTGGTGGTTAGATATTCTGTCACTATATCTAAAAAACCACGTGGTATAATTATCACTGATTTTTTTTCTTTCAAGGGGCGTCAATCTGATTGAAGTAATTTAATTCACCTAGTGAATCTTTTTTAAAGGTGTTGCCTACGTCTAGGTCATCCTTGATGACCGTGGCGGCCCCCAGAGCCAAGAAAACTGCGAACACTAGTAACCTCATGATGCCCCCACGCCTGAATGTACTTCCCTAAGAAACTGTCGCTTTATATACTCCCTCTGTTTGTTTTTTTAAATTTTATCTCTCCGTGAGCGCCGATAACCTTTATCTGTTTCTATTTTTTTTTTATTATGAAAGCATATCTGGAGGAACTTTCACTGTCAGTATTACACGTATCTCTCCACTTGTTATTTTTATCTATTTTAAATCTTCACGTCAGATACAGGGTATCAGAGTAGGCAGGAAGGACTGCGTGCCACCACCGATATACAGGAATTTACCCTGATATTCTTAACTCTTCATAACTTCTAACAACACCCTACGACACTTACTTGCCACGCGATCCGATTTCTGATTTTCCTGTTTGCAATCGTCAAACCTAGTCGCTTGATGTCGATTGCATGATATAATTTATGTCGCAAAATTCAATATATATTGTTTCTAATTTCCATAGCATAATGAAATCAATTAGCTAGTAACATCGACCGTTAGTGGGATATTGTGATGCTTTGGTATAGTTTTTAATTATTTTAGGACAACTGCATAGTTACAACATAATGACATTACTCTCAGCAGATACTGTAAATACTAGATAACGGAGTGATAGAGATATTTGTGTGTTTTAGAAACATTTCCTTTAATAAAGTTACTAATCTGGGTCCTGATTTCGTTTGTCTTTAAAATAGATATATATTTTCAGTATTTAATGGTTTGTTTAAATATTGTTCATGTAATTTTCTTATCTGGATACCCTAACGAAGATGATTATTTGTTCATAACTGCAAAATTCAAGCTTCCAATTTCCTGTATATATTGTAGAAATGTTATTATTTTGTTTGTTGCAGACATTCAGACACGGCTTCCCGTTTTCGCCGACGGCGCTGGCATGGGACCCCATACAGAAGCTGTTGGCCGTCGGCGACAAGGGCGGCAACCTCAGAATGTATCCTTTACTACACCACGAGATCATTAAATCTCTTTATTATTAAGAATCGATTATCAGGCTTAATTTTCGAGATATTCAATAAAATTATACATTATAACTATGGATATCTGCGAGTCTACCTCGTAACTTCTCTAACGTGAAATAAAGATTCATTTTGATGTTCGAAGTCACATAATATAGTACAGAATAGTGACATCTTTCATTGAAGTTAAAATTTTGAACTAGGTTACATTTAGCCAGCACAAGTTACATTCGGTTACATACAGTTTTTTCGATGTGACAATTCATTAAATCAGTCGCCGGGCGCTGCGATAACCTAAAATTCGACCAGAAACTTTGAACATTGTTAACATTTTCTTGAGTGAGGTATCTTGTATCCTTGTAACAAAAGAGTAAACACATGGTAGTGTGTGTTAATGTTTTTGACAATGGTTAGGGTAATTTTTTCTTTATTGTTTTTACTTAATTTGTTTCATAGATATATTTTGTTTTTGTAAATAAATACATTAATCGACAACAGGCAGTTCATTAAATAATTAAACAAACAAACCGCTGATTGTAGTTCGACTGTATGGGTCGCGGCTAAAGAATGTGCGGTTATTATCATAACAAAACACAAGCAAAGGCTAATTTCGTTTTTACTGTTCAATAAACATGAATATATTTCAGTGTTTTAAAAAAAATATATTTTTAACATAAACCATAGACAATGTAATGATGAATTTTTAGGAACAGTATACTTTTATAAATAAATTTAATGAAGTTCCGGATTCGATTAATAAACTATTTTTTACATGTTTTTTTAGATCTCGTTTACATTCGTTGTTTCATATATCTACTAAATTAAGGGAAAAAAATCAGTTCGTGATTTATTTATAGAAATTATAAAATAAATAAATTAACATGCAAAAAATGGGTAGACTAATAGATAAACTAATTATACATATGAAACAGTGTGAATAAAAGTATCAATATAAAAACTATAAAATAAATATAGTGACCCATAAAGATTGACAGAAACCCATTAATATTGTATTGTCACGTATAATGTTAGGAGGCGTCCTCTAGACGAGAGGGCCGCGTCCCCTATTGATGGCGGCTCGTAAACTTGTAGATAAAGTTAGAGTTTTCGATTTGACGACCGGCCATCTAACGGCTCACGAGGCGTCCAGATGACACCGAGGGACGACGTTACACATTAAAATAAATGGAAAACAGGTACACAATGACAGCATGGAAAAATCTTAAAAATACACTGCTTACGCCGTTTTTTGTCAATAGATGGCATTACATTTAAAAAAATGAACAAATGGCAACTTTATTTTACTATTTGTTAGTATGGAAAATTTTAATTAACTATTATATCATGATATTGTAATTTCCGATACAATGAATATTGTTTTATGGAATAAATGATGATGCTGATAATAAATTTTGCATTCACAATGCTATACTAGAAAATATTCTTAATGAAATATGCTTAAAAAAACCACTTTGTGCCTGGTACTCGGGAATGGGATTTGAATCTTTGACCTTTCGCAATCCGGATAACGATAAGAACAAATTGTCATCTTTACCGAAAGTTAAAAATATTTGTAAATATTTCGGCTTTGGTGTAGATTGCCTGAACATTGATGAAAGTACGCTAAAAAGTAACAAATGCTTGAAGAACTCGTCAGTCCTACTGGGTAGCTCAGTTGTTAGGTTCGAATCCCATCTCAGAGTAACGGGGACAAAGTGGATTTTTTAAGCATTTTTTATTAAGATAATAAATGAACTATTTTGATAACTAATATAAACAAAATCCGTATTCGGTACTTTTGAGAATTATATCACTATTTTATTCATCTCGACTATTGGTAGATGACGCTATTGTTATAATTTGATGGTTTTATAGATGGTTCTGTAATAGCATAATTGTTTACTAATATATGATATATTTATTTACGGTTTATTAATTCTGAATACTTGCCTTAATTTCTCTAAATCAAACTATTGATTCACAATAGACAACATAATACAGAGTCACCTGGAACTGGACACCTTAAAATAACCTTTTACATTTCATTTATCACACTGAAATATTTTTTAATGCAATTTTATTAAAAATTTCATCATACACGACCTCTTACTCATATCCACAAATAATGTTTATTATTAAATGAACTAGATTATTATTATCACAAAACATATATCATGAACGCCTAACTGATATTCACTAGCTGTAAACAGTTAAAATAATAGTGTAACTAGTTAATTACCAATATGGCAGTTTGATATGATTGTATTGCCGTTTGATTCATTTCGAAGATTTGAATTAATAAAAAAATAAAAATGCTTTATATACAATGACTAATCTCAATAAAACCAACCAAACTTTATTGTGATATAAAATAAATTTACCTGTTAACATCCAATGCGTTTTCTATCGTGTTGTACAAACCTTATTACTACAAATTTCAGGCGGCAGAATTTGAAATAAATCATCTCGTATAATAAACATTAAGTTTAAAAAAATCAAAAAGTGATAAAAGGTTCCGCAATCCATATTTGGTTAACTAGAAGGATTTTTTTTTTCACTTTCGTCAGCAATCATGGCAAGGAAAGAATGGAAATAACATATATCGATTAATATTCACGCAATCCAATCGTTTCAATCTTAGTCGAAGTTTTGGGAAAAGATGAACTATAACATTTTTTAAATTATCAACCACTGATCCACCGAGGATGCTATGCAGGTGAAAACTAATATATTACTTTGCAAGTATTTAAAATGCATACTTACAATAGTCTATACTTCACAACATACAAATTTATCACCATCCTTATGTAATACAAATATCGCTATCAGCTGTCTGTCTGTTCGCACGTGATAAACTCAAACACTACAAAACTATTTTCCTTAATAAAAGTAAATCTCTAGAAAAGTTTAAGTAAATAACACATAAAGCTAAGCGATTTTTTGCAAGGTTCGATTATAAAATAGGTGTCAAAGATCGAGGTCTTCCGTGTTTTGGACGTACGTTAAACGATTGCTCCTGGCTGTATCAGTAATCCTTGTCGACCTGGGCCCGCGTAGTACGTGTTGGCGCGTTTATATCTGTACGAGACGCCTGTATCCCAACAGTGGTGATATTAAGATGATGATGATGAATCGAGATTTGTTACTGTTCATGCATGTGTATGCATTAGCGGGCACTGCGCAAGGTTGGTGCAGGTACTCATCTAGGTGGAAATTCCTCGTATCCCTGCAATCTTGGTCACTTGAAGCTCACTATACTAAATTTATTATAGCATTAGATAGAAATCTAATATATAAATTATGAGTAATTAAACAAATGATTTAAGAACTATTAAAATAAAAGGTGTATATTCTACCATAAGAACTTAAAGTAAAAGGGGTGGATAGTTTCGGCACGTTTCACAGATAGATAGTATTAGTTCTATGCTTGGGAGCAAAAGATAAACATAGAATGTACAGCCTCATCTCACCCGCGGTATCATAGAAGAGGGAAATCGCACGGCTCTTTCAGACTCTCTAAATTTAAATAATAAAGTTAAATTTTTCAACAAAACTGTTATAGCATTTTTTTTAATTTATCTTAAAAATAGGACATTTTGCACTTCCGCTTCTGTGATCCTTTTTTTTCTAATGCTATAATAAATGAAGTATAAATGTAAATTTCAATCGTGCAACGCCGGGGCTGATAGTTAGTACTTACCTACCGATATAAAGTGCAACAATGTTTGTGCTATCTGTAGTCGTTCAGAAAAAATAATAATTTTATTTGACGATTAGGTTGAATGTGTATTTTACTTAGGTTTAATGTATATACATATTGCGCCGATCACAAGTAAATAACTAGGAGAAGGGCAAGCGAATGATAATTTGTTTTGAGAACAGCTGTTTTGTTCCTATAACATAGCTTAAATAACAAACAATGAAATCAGTTGACAAATAACAGTTCAACGGCTTTTATTATACGAATAATTGCAGTGTTAACCGGTTTCATATTGAGTAATCATGTTATTGACTGATGTAGGTAATCCGTATCACATTTCAGTAGATATTATAGAGTCGTTGCCACACTGCAATAAAAGAAAAGCTGGTAAACTTGTTATTGATGTATTTGGCAATAATTAATAAACACAAAATGAGTAACAGATAACCCACTCTGTGTTGATTATTTTGTTTTCGGTGCAATGTTATGTTTATATGTAGAGATAAATAATATAAGATAAGTAAAAGTATTTTTTTTTATATCATCAGGTGATGTAATAAAACATTGTAACTATTGTGAATTTTGATTTAAAAGCACCTGAAAACTTGTCTCTGGCTGGTGCCTGAAACAGTTTTTTACAAGTATTCTTAAGATGAAATATGTCTCACTGAAATATAACAAGTATCTGTCTCTATGAAACTTACTACACTATATATTTGCATATTTTCTGTCTAAAATTCTAAAATACACGCACACACAATTAATTAAAGTAAAAAGAGGAGAACGTGTATATTTTAGCGAAGCAGAACTGATTTTCATAAAAATATTCTTGCACCTTGGCTGTGTTATACGAAAAACGATACATGTAACTGAACTACTCGACGTAATTGTACAAAAAATTCCACAAAATAATATTCATAGTATATTTACGTGCTTGCCGTACAACAGAAATCGTCGTCGTAACAAAGGAAAATAGTCGCTTGTTTGACTACAAACTACAGTCGGGTAAACGTATCGGACAGCTCTGCCGGACGTCCGGTGACGGCGGCCGGATCGTTGTGTTCTCATGACCTAATACCGCAGAAGACATCGCGTACAAGTGTGTGTTACGCGACGGCGATCGTTGGATAATCATAAACACAGCAAAGCTTAATAGCCTTTGGTTTATTTAAACTTTTCAATTTAATATCGATGAGCCCCAATATGTTATAAATAATTTCCGTAACACAAAGAGATTGGCTGCTTGCTGTTTTCTGCTATTTGAATTTTCAATAT